CGTATATTAAAATACAGATAAAAACGTGGCAGTAAAGAGTAAAAATTATAGAATACTATAATTGTTGACACATTGATTTGGATTGTATTGAGTCAGCGGAAAAGAGATTTCTTGAATCGATTCAGAATAGTTTTTCTATACCAAATGGCAAGAGATTTAACCAGGAGACATACCATTTTAAATTTATTGTTAAGCACTAATTAGGATATGGATGGTTGCAAGAGTTGTATTAGGGCAACATCTAGGGAAGATTAATTATTGTATAATGAAATTTGATGTTTTGCAGCATGTTGAAACAAAAAGAAAGGAAATATCAGTTTTTCAGTTTAAGAAAGCCAATTCTAAGACCATGAGACAAGACTTAGTGAATTGGGGACAATGAGTTAAACATTGATGTGAGAGAAATTTCTGAATTTTTTTAAAATAAGTTGATTTTTAATTCAACATATTATTGTTCCTAAAACAGAAAAGAAATAACAGAGAATATCAAACTTCATTGACTTACTGAAGGGAAATAAAGAAACAAAAATTAAATTGATAGATAAGTTGGAATATTTACAAAACTATAAAAACTGTGGATTTTTTAAAAGAAATTAGGATATCAAAATGGCTATAAGAAGTGGTTAGCTGTTAATGCTAAAATTAACATCAATGTTGTTTCGAAGTGAGCAAATTGTTAGAATTGGGATTGGACTCTTAAAAGATGCTAGTTGTGAGATTTGTGTTGAAGACTAAGAGATGGCGGAACTTTTAAATGTCCGCGGCCCTTGAGCGTTCTGTGGAAAATGTTTAAATTTACTTGAAACGACGTTTGTGAGATTAACAGTAGATAAAACACGAGGAGCAAACAAGAATTTCTCGGAGATTTTAAAGGAGCTCAATTATCTAATATATGAGAGCTTGTCTGTTGAATTTTTCGTAAGCCACTAGAGAGTAGGCAGATGTTTGAGGATTGGAGAGAAGTTTCTGTTACTCCATTTTTTAAAGTATGTGATAACTTACTCTAGAAATTTAAAGCTAATTAGTCTTACTTCTGTAGCGGGAAAATTATAGTCTGGGTTTCATTGATGCTGTTATATTCTACTAAATGATTTCGCATAACTTCTTTATCAGACTATAATTTATATTGTCTTACTAATCTGTTATCTTTTCTAGAGGCGTTACTTATTGTATGAACGAAAAAGAAAAAGGTATGGAATTATTGTTCGTAGATTGAGGCAAAATATTAACTAAGAAAATCATATCAGTAAGTGTTGTGTAAAAAAGAGTAGTTAATTGAATTATAAGGTGATTTAGGTGGGAGAAATCGAAAGGTTATTATTAATGGAGTTGATTCGACCTTCCCCCTTCTTACTTCTGGGATACCTCAGGGGTCAAGGCCTGGGCCTTTGGTTTTTTCGTGTAAGTTAATGATATTGATAGGGCATAATTATTAATTTAGTAAAGTTTGATATTGACATTAAACTCTTGGATATTTCGAGCTGTATTGATAATGTTAGCACATTATAGAATGACTGCGATTAACTGATTAATTGAACAAATATTTGACACATGACCTTTAATTATAATACATGTAAGACAATGCATTTTGGTTTTCATAATTTGGATCATACGTTTAATATAGGTGGCAACTAACTCAATATCGTGGCTGAAGAGATAGATTTTGGAGAATAAGCTACTTAAGTTATTGAAATAGTGCTTTATTGCTAGATGTAAAGCTAACATAATTTTAGGGTGTGTTTGTAATAGACCTATTAATCACAAGTCAAAAGAGGTAAGTATCTCTGTGCACAAACCAATAGTTAGATCTTATTTAGAACACTGTATATGGTTTGGGTCTCCTTATCTATTGACTTATTGGAAATGGTACAGAGGAGGCTACTAGAAGTATTGCAGTAGTGGAAGAGTTATCGTAAAGTAATAGGTTAAGATCTCTTATTTTTACTTGAGAATAAAAAGGTTACAAGATTACTTCGTGGATTGATAGGATAAATACTATGGATTTGTTTGAATTCTGTAAAAAACAGACTAAATTCCAATTAAGAGAGTTTTATTTTTATAGAATATGAAATGGGTTAACATTGGAAATAATGAGGAATCGATGACTTCCTGAAAAATAAAGTGTAGGTTTAAATGTTTACTCTTCTCAAGGTGGATGTGCAAGGAAAGCTTTGAACGACCGAACAGGCCCTCTTACAAGTAGTTGAGCGGGTATCATAACTAAGTGCTTGAGTTCAGAAACTGCTAAGCTATTTGATCATTTTAAACCTCTTTTCTACGACTAAAGAATTATTATATTTTTACAATGTATTAATTTGGATTTTGTGTCACTTTATTGTTGTAGTTGTGGTACGAATTGTGTTGTAAAGGGTTGATGAGTGCATTGTATTGAATTTGTTTTAAATATGGAAGTCAACAAGTCGGAGGACAACCAATGCTGATATAAAGATGCGGTGGAATTACATTTTGGTATTGATTGGAGTGTCGTAGGTAATGTGATGTACAGTACTTATCAATTTTAGTGGAGTCAAAATAAGGATATGTAGCTTGATAAAAATAATGTAGACACTATTTCCAGCCTAGTTTGTTTACTTTTTTTAGAGTTCCTAGTTGTAGGCTTGAAAATATAATCTTTGCATTTTTATTCAACTTGTTTCTGTACTATTTTGACGATCCCTATTCCCCTTTCTAAATTAACTATTTTTAATTATCTTGTTTATTAATTTTAAGCTACATACTTGTGTATGCAATCAGTTGAGGTTTCCTGTAAAAACGCGCTTAACATGCAAAGTACGAAAATCACTAGAATAAATCACCACTCACAAGAGTAGAGAAATCTACTATGGTAATCGTCTACTGTTAGAAAACTCACTGAAATAGTCGCAGAAAACCACGTACAGACAAAATACAAAAGCGAACTCGAGAAACAATGAAGAACAGTGGACTAGAGAAATGATGAATCCTCAATGTAGCAGTTTCTAATTAATGCGCTATAAGTTGCACAAACTATTTTCCAATTAATGCGCATTAGTAAAACTGGATTTTTTCAATGGCGGAAAGTGAACGACTTAGAGAAATTTTTCAGGGCGAAAAAACGAAAACACTAGAATTAATTTTAAAACTACCCTATGACATACTCAATACTGCATTCATCATTATTGTCCAGGTTTCAGTGAAATATTCATAGTCGTTTTTTCTCTAGAGGATTTTAAAACTATAATTAATTATAATAATAATAAGGCTGGAGACACTGTTATAAATATACACAATGTTCACTCTAATAAAACAAAGTGTTTCTGACTAGTATAATGGTGCTTAAATGGCTTCTACATTTCTGCAATGCTTGAATGATTTCGAATAGCTTATGTTGGTAGCAAAGATGAACTTAGAAAATTTTAAAGTGTGGAAATCTCGACTTTCAAGACTCAACTTAAAAATAGCCCTTAAGCTTTGCGGGAGTTTGTTTAGATTTAGGTGCGTTATACCTAGTAGTTTTTTCTGTAGCCTTCAGTGCTTGAATGGTTTCAAAGAGAAACTTGCCCATTGGTGATGAAAAACTGATAAAATCTCTCTTTCTCTCAAGAGTCAACATAACAATAGTTCTATGACCTGTGCAGGAGATTTTTAGTAGATTTGCCGAGGTTTGAATAAAATATTCATCGCTGTTTTTTTTTCTGTAGGATTGTGAAACAATAACAATTGGATGAATTCTGAATTTTGTCTAACAATAGGAAAATCAACTTTTATGCTATTATCAATATTTTATCAGCCTTAGTCATTGAGATAGAAGGTCTTGAGTGTTGTTTCAACAATAAGTCTGCTTTTTAAGATGGTTTTTGTCCGAATGTTCTATTAGAATGTTTGTGAAATCCCCATGTGAACCCTATAATAAACCACGATAGTGGTTCATGATAAGTGAAAAAGCCGATAAGTAATCTTTATGTGAGATTCCCTTTCTGTAAGCCATAATGACTCTTAAATAATAGTACCAATATATATTTATGTATATGGATATAGTTAGACTTGTATAATTTAATTGGGTGGTGGTAAATTAGCCCACTAATTGCCTGACCTACACAATGTAGTATGTAGTTCATACTCATATTTAAAAAGTCTTATAGATGAAAAGAGACGAGGACGAATTGTACTCTTGGAATTGTACTGAGTGGTAGAGCAATGATCCTATCAGCCTATCTTAGATTCAAGTCCCATTCACGGAGTCTCTTTTTTTAATTATCGCATTTTTCACTTCCAATAAACTTGACTTATTGGTGGAATTACATAATTGTCGTTAGAGAAAGCGAACATTGCCGTATGCTTTTCGAAATTGCTTATAGATAAAAATTATGAAACTACCGATTTAATTTATATTAATATTTAATTTATATTAAAATGTTGATAGATTATTTTTTATTATTGTTTGTTTATTTCGAATTTCGCGCAAAGCTACACGAGGGCTATCTGCGCTAGCCGTCCCTAATTTAGCAGTGTAAGACTAGAGGGAAGGCAGCTAGTCATCACCACCCACCGCCAACTCTTGGGCTACTCTTTTACCAACGAATAGTGGGATTGTCCGTCACATTATAACACCCCCACGGCTAAAAGGGCTAGCATGTTTGGTGGGACGGGGATTCGAACCCGCAACCCTCAGATTGCGAGTCGAGCGCCCAAACCAACTGGCCATGCCAGGCCTTTTTATTATTTAAACAGATCCATACCTGTTCTCGTTCTCGTTCAGAAATAATACTTTTCCCGTTCTGTTTAACTTGGACAAAATAATTTATTGTTAAATGCATAAGTATTTTTTAATGATCAGGAATGTAATTTCAGTAGATTTTGCGCGTGTATGTTTTCATTAAAAGTGACGATCTCATTCATTAAAAATTTAGGTAATGAAAATAATAAGTTTTTAAACAACAGACATTTTATTTACATGTTTGCTATATATCTTATAGTATTACGTTTTAGGCAATTTTCGGTGGTTTTTTTCAGCCTCAGGAATGAATGGTGAACCCTCTTGTGACACCAATGAAGGAAGCACTGCGCTATCAGACGATCACCTTCAAGAAAATGACTCAGAACAAGCAATCAACCTGGTACTTGGTTTTTCTATCACTCCATTCTAACGTGCATAAGAATATATGCGTGTATTTAAAATTCTATTTTTCGCTTTGCAAATGGCTTCAGTGGGTCTCATTTCATAAAATATAAGTATCAATTCGGTTCCTTTCATATTTTATAGTATGAAAAATATTATTTGAATCAAATATAAATCTAATAAATTCCCGTCTTAAGACAGTTCTGAAAATTCCCTCTCGACTGACATGAAGCTTAAGCATTGAATTTTAAGTCCCGAGTCAGATAAAAGCATAGGTCATTATATTCTCAGCTTCATAGAAACGTAGTTGAAATGCTGTGTTGTAAAAAGCTTAGTTTCGTCCACACAACTTATGGCTCAGCCAGTTATTACGTATTTCGTCAGGAACCGTAGTAGGATTGATAAAACGAGGATGTTTTCTGCCTTCCTTCAATTGTATTAGATCTTATAAAATTTATTCAGAAATGTTTTTTACAAATTCTCACTGGGGTACATCATACAATAGATTATACAAATTCTCACTGGGATATATCATACAATAGATTATACAAATTCTCACTGGGATACATCATACAATAGATTATACAAATTCTCACTGGGATATATCATACAATAGATTATACAAATTCTCACTCGGGCACATCTTACAATAGATTATACAAATTCTCACTCGGGTACATCTTACAATAGATTATACAAATTCTCACTGGGGTACATCATACAATAGATTATACAAATTCTCACTGGGATATATCATACAATAGATTATACAAATTCTCACTGGGGTACATCATACAATAGATTATACAAATTCTTACTGGGGTACATCATACAATAGATTATACAAATTATCACTGGGGTACATCATACAATAGATTATACAAATTCTTACTGGGGTACATCATACAATGGATTATACAAATTCTTACTGGGGTACATCATACAATAGATTATTGTGAAAATAAAACTTCATATTGTTTCCATAAAAAATCAAAAGTTCTATAATATGTTTTTGTATTAGGCGTTGTCTGACGAGGCCAGAGGAAATGAAGCAATCCCAAAGATTCGAGACCAACACACATCGTCGGACGAACCTGCTATGGTCTTTAGAACTCCTCTAGCAGAAACACCCATTGCACTTCCAATCAGCAGTCCTTCCCTTACACCTTCCGCTATCAGCACTTTCTCGGCCGCAAATCTGGTGGCTGCTGCGGCGGCAAGCCAGTTCTCCTTGAGTCAGGTACGGCAGACACTTTACCTACGTGTTCAACGGTGTTTTCTTTCACTTAATAGTTTTATTTTATTTTGTAATTGTAACAAACTGAGCTATACCTACACTTAATATTATAGTTAAACTGAATTTGTAAAGCTAATATCGAATCAAATACATTTACATCATTTGATGAACATACATTAGAGATCAAACTGATGTAAGAGCGCACGCATATCTGATTTGTAGAAGTTTCTTACATGTATCCTGATATGACGAGAGAGCGTCGTTTTCGTTATATCATTTACAAGCATAATAGTAGGATTTCTGTACTACATTGAACATTTTGATCGGCTTGACCTAGAATTGATATAGAGACGTAAGTTATAGTAAGTAAATGTTTTTACTATCAACAACATGATACATTTTGTCTCAATATAACATCATACTCCGAATAACGTCATAAAATTACGTTTTGAAAATCCACGTTATTTAGTGGTTTTATGTTCGCACTTAATAGAATGAAATTATTTGAAATAAAACTAATAATGTAGTCCAATATTCTTCTATACACGATTTTGTAAACGTATCGTATATACATGCTACAGCGAACAAGAACCCAAACAATAATGGTCTAGACTTGAAAATTGTTCATCATATAATACGGGTAAAATTATGCTCACCCAGCTTGTGTAATGTGCAGGAAAATAAATTACACATTTATGTACTTGCTAACATTTCAGATTGTGTCATTATCTATAAATGTATTGAACAGCAGCAGCTATTAGAGCAATTTAAAAGCTACAGACTTATGTTTCAGATCGTACCCCTGATATGTTATCATAACTACTCTTTAAGTCTGCGCAGAGACATATTGTTTTTCTACTGTTTCTTCTTTTTTCTCCTTCTTCTTTCTTCTTCTTCCAAACACTTTTCAATCGACCGCCATTCCTTCAATTCTCGGCGGATTGACTTGAAACTTGGTAGGGTTGTACTTTTCATTTTTTATTTAGGTATTTTTGATGATTTTATGGGATCGAAAATAAAACAACCCCAAATTGGATATTTCAGTCTCCTGTGAGGTCATATTTGCAGCAATATAGATGAAATTTGGCACAAATATAAATTGTATGCCCTCAACACATTATCAACAAACAACAAAAGGAGTCAGAGCTCACAGAAAAGCATAATTTGGGGTTTT